TTCTAGGCCAAGAGCTGCTAACTGATTCTCTTGAGCAGAATAAAAACCTACTTTCTACTCCAGGGACTGCTGTTTGCTTATGAGGTCTCCAGGTATCCTTTTATTTCCTAGTGAAGTTGCAGGATCTAGGGATTTTCTCTTCCCCAGGCCTGTCTTATTTTGTCAGAACCCATACATAGGACCAACAGCTCAGGCTGGTGAGGTGCATGCAGGGACAGACCTGGGAGGTGAGAATGGGTAGATTGTGGCCACCTGGCATACCCAGCCTCTGGCTGCTGTCGGCCTGTTGATGACACTAGACATGCTTACAAACTTGGATTGTCTTGGGAAAAGTGTACTTGGGTAACTACCTTCCTATCTTCTTATCTTGGAAAAGTGAGATCTTGGGTTCCGGAATCAGCATGAGGACAAGAGTGGAATGTTGGGGACCATCTTCCTTGGTGCTGTGGGTGAGCTCGTAGCATCTGGTTTGGGAACTGTGGGTCCAGGCAGGTGACTCTGAAGCTGACTCGGCTGTGATCTCAGACAGGACACACACTTAACACCTTTAGCTTTGTAAACCTTCCTGATGCTTTCTAGAATCTTCTTTTCTTCTTTGCAAATATTAAAATCACAAGGACTGTTTGGTTGAGAAAGTAATTTGAAATATTTGACCTTTTATGTTTCTTTTATTTAGAAACTGTGGGAAAGAAAATACCTTTAGTATCTGTTAGATCTAGAATAATTTTCCTTTGAAAGTGAATGTTCTTTTTTTCATGCCAGTGAATAGCATTTATACGTTTTTCATCTTGAAACAGAGGAATGAATCCTATTATATTTTTCCTTCTTTTGTCTAGAATATATTTGTTTTCCATTTGGATACAGTTTCTCAACGTTTGAGATTTTTTCCCCCCTTCTATTTTTTTCCCCGTAAACATAATAGTAAAGAAAAAAATTACCAAGCCCACTGAATTTGAATCACTGACAACTTGTCTAGAAAAGTTTAGATGATGGTTCTTTGAATAGTTTATCTTTTTCACAGGGTTAATTTGTTGTCTGCATTTTTCTGCCGAGACTCGCTATTTCTAGACACTCTAGGGTGTCTAGAGTGTTTTGGTGGCATGTTTTTCTTTGGGATGCAAAATATACAAAGGCCAGAGAGCCTTTGGTTAAGGGGTTAATATCTCTTAGACTACCGATTGGAACTTTTATGGTTCTAATTTAGAGTTAAGAGCGTGTTGCACACAACCTTAATCAGCTTGTTGATAGGATTTAGGGTGAGGCCCAGAATTTCTCTTCATAATTGTGCCTGAAAGGAGCAACAGAGGGAAACAAGATTCTGATAATGGTTTGTCTGGGATTCAATAATAGTCTGAAACTATCAAATCTGAGATAAGTACTCCCTTTTTATCAGGAAATGAGAACAGTGGAAGGAGACCTGTGCCCACTCAAGGTAGAGCCAGGCCAGACTGACAGCAGCTTCCCTCCACAGGCCCTGCTTTGCTTGCTGGCTTTTTTCCATATTTGGTTTGGCAAGTTTCAAGACTCTGTGCCCCTCTTTGCAGAAGTGAGGAAGGCAAATCTTCAGGGCCCAGAGGGAGAACCGGCTGGCCCCAGGGCTGGTGGAGGGCAAGAGCAGGACATCTGGGACAGCCCCAGAGGGGCCATCTGCTCCCAACTCTTTCACTCTGTAAACATTTACAAATAAGTTTTCGAATCTTGCCTCATGATGAAATTGACCTATTTGGCTACAATCAGTGCTTTTCCTAACTTGATTTTGTTTGACGTGGTTCCCTCTGAGAGAATACTTAGGAATGGAAACTATTTGTATATGTTGAAATTGTAGGAGTTCAGGAAGCCATGGCAGAAACACTAAACTATTTATTTACAGGTATGACTGTATTTTTTTTTTCAAAGTAGGCAATTCTGTCTGCATTTTAAGACAAATAATAATCACTTCACCTCTGGTGCCTTCCATGCGTCGCATAAGCACTCTTGTCAATCATGGAATTGGAAAAAAGATGTACATTTAGTTAAACCAGATAACACTATTTTTGTAGCGTGATTTTAGATTGTGTCCTTTTAATGTTGTTTTCCACAATGCTAGTTTTGAGGTCTTGACCATTTTCTCTTTACACTTGTATGTATTTTAAAAAAGGAAAAAAACAAAAAAATCCCTGCTATCCTTTTTCCTCTGCTGCTCTTACCCCACATCTTGTTCCTACTTATTTAAATAATCTGAGAGTAAAAGTATATTTCTGTGAAATAATTATGAGTCAGTATAATTGCATTTGGCATCTTTAACCACTTGCCCAGTTTGGAGAGCCACTGCTGCGCCCAAGCAGTAAGGAAAATGGGTCTGTAGTCAGAAAAGTGTATCCTCAGTGCTTTGACTAACCCCTTGGTGGGTCTGACATGGTGAGAAGCCTCTCTGGCTCCTTCATGTTTGGGCTGGCGAACCGGACAGTGTTCTCTGGCCTGGCCTCTTCAGAATCAATTTGACCATCCCCAGCAGTGCTGTCTTCCTTCCTATGCCAAGCAGGAAGCTTCCAGTAGGGCCTCAGCCTGACTCCTGGGCTGTGCCCTTCCACTTGGGTTTGATTGGCTCCTGGATGCTCGGGGACAGGCTCGGTGGCCTCTCTAGGTTTCAGGCCTGAACAAGACATCCCTTGCTGAGGGAAGCCAGATGAAGCCAAGACAGAGTGCTCTGTGGCAGCTCCTGTGCTCGCCTACCCCACAGGGCATGCATTATGTCTGGTCAAGGAGCATCAGATAAACTAGCTGAGCCATTGCAGAATGAAGGTACAGAGTTATTGAAACAAATTGTAGTTTTGTCCTTCTGAAGGGTCAGAGTATGTAATTAAGTATTTAATAACAAAGTAGTCAAGTCAGATGGCTAAGTAGTAACTTTCCAATACCATTATTCCTTGGTACTTTACCTACTGGCACTTTTGGGGGCAGTGTTAATTTAGTAACTGTTATGCTTTGTTTCTTAAAGTCTGTTTCTTTTTAGCAGTTGAAAGACATACCAGTGGGCATTCTGAGGCGATGTCCATTTGGCAAACTTTAGTTTGTGTGTTTGTGAGTCAGAGCTCCGGCCTGGCTTCTAGATTGGCATGGAAGCCCTGGGGTGGGCTTTGCCCGGCTCCGACTGGCTCTCAGGTTTGAGGCTGCACATTGGGAGTGGCTCAGGAGCCCCAAAGCCTTTGCTCCTGTTGGTTTGTCCCCAAACAGATAAAGCCTTGTGTTGCCCTCAGTTCTCCCCCTTTCTTTCGAAGGACCAATTTTTCATGGTACTTGTCTTGTTTTCATAGTGTTCAAATCTGTATTTTTGTATGTAGAGGGAAATAATTTTCTCAACACTAATCGCTAATAAATATTGTATTAAATTGTCACGAAGGAATTCTTGTCTAATAAATGGACATGTAAGAATGTTGTTGTCGCTTTCTTCACTCTGCCTTGCCCCTCTGCGGTTCTGGTTTCTGGAGCACAGGAGCTCATGTGGAAGACGAACAGAGCCACAGGATGGGCCATGCCTCTGTGGCAGCAGCTCTGCTGGGCTGGCAGGTAGAGTGTAAAGCCAGCACTGTGCGTCCCACACAACCAGCTCTCACACATCTTCAGAATTTGCTGTGGTGAAAGTTGGGGTGGAACGACTTGCCCCTCCCACCAGCCTGGGGAGGAGCGCTGACCCTGGTCCTCCTGGCTGCAGCTCTGAGGTCTGTTGTGCAACTAGTCTCCAAACCACAAAAGCCCATTCTGGCCGCTTGAGACCGCCGTGAGACACTGTCCTCACGTATACATACATGAGCGGGCCCTGGACCAGCTACTAATCTTTCTCTGACTGTAAAACAGGATGTGTGAGGATGAAATAAGAGAACTAGCCAGATGCCTACCCCCACACCAAACATAGAGAAGTATACAGGCACTACTGCTAAAACCTGAAGCCATCAGGGTCCAAGTGGTGTGTCACTGGCTTGTGCTGAAGCCACGTGTGACAGAACAGCACTGCTCTTGGTGGCAGAGAGCTTTTCACACACTCCAAGCAAGTCGTCAGTCTGTTTTAATCCATTATGGCTTTTTTCAGGGTAGATTCACATGCAAGAGAATAACAAGTTTACAAATGCCCAAAACATGGGTCCAGAACTCTGGCTCATTCATGAGGCCTAGGGTCCCAGAAAATGCCACTTGCTAAGAAGCTGCTTTTGTATATTAAAAAAAAGTATAAAAAGTTATAAAATCCCATCAAAGACAGATACACAGTATTAAGTCCTTAGGTGAACATAGAAGGCTTGTCTCATGTCTCATGACAGAGTCAGAAGACCTGCTCTGGGTTCTAGAAGAACCCTGTCCCGAGGGTCCCAGGAAACTTTTGCTTGCTGGCTGACCCCCAGGAAGAGGGAGGGTTTGGCTGGGCCCGCCCAGCTACCCACGGCAGTCACTGTGACATCACTTTCTGGTCCCTCTGTCTTGGACCTAATAAGCTAATCTAGAACTCTTCTTTGAAAGTCTTAGACCCAGAATGGTCATTTCACCCAAAGAAGACATGGTTTCTAAGGGTGTGAGGTGTCAGGACGCGGAGACCCACTTTCCTGGGTGATAAGGCAAAGGTCAGTTTTCTCCCTGCATCAAGAATGAAGAGGAAACTGGTACTCCTTCAAAAAAAAAAATCCTGGGAATGTTGTTCCCAACTAAGTGCCTTGCATGCGCAGGAGCACTAAATGCAGACAGGACCCATGGGGGCCTGGTGTGGCAGCCCTGCAGTGGCTGTCTCTAGTGCCTGTTGTGAGCAGGATGACCCCTCCCACCTTGCAGCACCTACTGCAGCAGGTGGTGATAAGGCTCTGTCTGCTTTGTCTCCTAAAGGTCTTAAGGCCTGTGGGATAGATGGGGGGTGGGATGTCCCAGATGCCTTCGCAGGCACAGTGGTTAGTTAACAAGGTTAAGGTGAGGGGTGCAGGCTTGGATGCTAGGCTCAGCGTAACCTTGAGGCTGTGGGGAGGCCTCTGTGTCAGCAGCTCCTGCTGCTACTTGAGAAGTCGCAGCCTCCCCTCGGACCTGCAGCGTCCCCTGGCCATGCTCCCAGCCGCTGCTGTCAGGAAGGCAAAGGGGTGGAGGACCCTGTGGCTCGGGTTGCCAGGGCAGGGCCAGACCTTCAGTCTGAGTCTGAGTCGGAATCCTCTTCTGAAAGGAAAGCAAAGAGGATGCTTGGCAGGAGTCTCCGGGGCAGCAGTGCCTGGGAACGGTCTCTAGGAAAGCACAGCCAGGCTGTTGGCAGGAGCCCAGGCCGAGGCCTCTCCAGCAACAGACTTCATCACTGGGCCCAGGACCCCCACAGGCACCACTCTGACCTACAGGATGCAGGTGGTTCCACCCCAGATTGAAGCCCAGATGCCCCCCTCTGCAGGGGCACAGGCCGTTCCGAATCTCCCCGGACCGCTCTTACCTGCAGGGCTGTCTGCATCCCAACCCCATCCTACCCCCTAGTTCGGCCAGGACAGCTACTTTATTTTTTCCCAAATTAAAATATACTATTAATAGAAAACCAGCAAACCTCTTTTTAGCCATTTTATAGTTTCAGCTCCCCTTCCCCTAATCTTTGTTTTCTGTTGTGATCAGAAACAATTTCATAATGTTAAGGGCCTGCCTTTGAGAAGGTGTGACTTCAGGGTTTCTGAAATCCCCATACTGAAGATTACTCTGTGGCTCCTTCTGGAACCCCCACCCCAGGAAGAAAAGGCACCCTAGTAGTGCAGTAACCTTTCCTCCGGCCTCAGGGCTGGCTGCTATTTCCTGACGCTCATCCCCTCCCTGTTTATCACTCCTGTCTCCTAGATCCCTAGTCAGCCCTCATGTCCTCACTGGTTCAGGACTGAGCTTGAGGCCAGGGCATGGGCAGCTGGGAGTCCCCTTGTGCCTGGAGAACCTCCCTACACCCTGACTCCCTCTCACAGCCCGTGCCTGCGCTGTACTCATAAGATTTGTGATTCTGCTATAGCCAATTCGAACACAGAAGCCGGGAATAACTTTATAGCAAAAAAATTGTTACACATATGAAATTCTCCAAATATTAAAACAACAGTGGTCTTCACTGATGTTTACTGCTAGCTCGCTGGGCAAGTTGCCTAGGAGCTGGTCACAGGGCCTGAGGAAGAGGTCTGGCTGATGCAGGATGGCAACATTCATTAGCAGAGATGGGTTCTGGGGTTTACAGATTCCATGGCCCCAGCTGTTGTAAACTGGTGGCCCCTAAACCTAACCAACTAGGGCCCACCTAGGACGGGGAAGGTCCTAGCTCCAAGGTGGGGGCCTCCCTTGGTTTCCTGCCCAGCCTGCATGTGGACGCAGCTGCCTGTTCAGGAGAAGCATCACAGCACCTGCACAGAAGTGCGTTTCCTTTATACTACTCCCCTTCCTCCATTTGTCCCTTTCTTCTGCCTGTACATTCCTATACAGCCATCAGGACCCGGCTCTAGGGTCACCTCCACAAGCCTCCAACCTGACTGTCACATACAATGGGCCCTCAGCTGTTCTATCCCTACCACCATTAGCTCTTTTCTGCTCCTGTAATTGTCACCCTGTCTAGTGGCCTCCCCTGGCACAGCCCATATCCTGCCATGCCGTGGCCACTATTTTTGGGTCTAACTCCCGTCCAGCCCTGCCCTTCTGCACATCCCTAGCACCCAGCAGGCAGCAGCCTCAGCAGGCGTTTGGTTCAGGAGGCAGCAGGTGACACCAGGCTGGGGCGAGCTGGTGCCGAGCCAAACATCCCAATTACTTGCTGAGGTCTCAGAGGTACTGGCCAGCAGTGTCACAGGTCTCCTGGCTAAAGCCTACCTGGGGGTGTGAAGGGAGTGAGACAGGGACGTGACCAATCTGCCACCGAGCCTGGGAGCTGGGCCCTCTGTCCAGGTTAGCTCCTGCATTTCCTATATTTTCTGTGTGGGTGCCACCACCCCCTCTGCCACTGCGGCCCCCCGGGCCAGGGCTTCCTCCGGTGGCCTCCCTGGGCTGGACTGAGGAGGCCTGAGGGAGACACAAGTCCCAAACCAGCTGTGCTCCCTCCTAACACACCTCTGCAGTGTTCCCACCACATGCCCCAAGGGTGTGGCCGTTGGCATGGCTATGTTATCAGAGACATAAAAACCTCCCAACTTTCAGCTGTGTTTTCCTTTTTTATAAACCGAGTGACGTGCATGCTGGCCTTTCTGAGCTGGAGAAGGATGGCTTGAGGGGCCAGAATGTCCGTTGAATTTTCCTTGGGAATAAAATAAACCAAGTCTGAGCTCGCCTGGCTTCTGAGGATAAGGCCAAGAGCCCAGGTCCCCCTGGACCTCAGGTCTGGGCAGGTGAGCAACAGTGGGGCTGAGTTGGGGCAGATGGCCACCCCAGATCCCAGGTGGATGGGTGCCCTGAGAGTGACCGGCTGCCCTGGGGACAGGTAGGGAGGACTGTAGGGCCAGAGGCTGGCATGCCCTCAGCCTGCCCTTCTTAGAGGTGCCTCTGATGGGACTGGCTTTGTGATCATCTGCATGTAGGGATATGAGAACAGACTGTGAAAACACTTCCTGCCTGGGGAAGACAGGAAATGCTCCTACCCCAGCTTCAAACTAGCCAAGTGTCCCCAAGGGAGGGCAAGGTCCTGCACAATACCGCAAGGGGTGACCAGCTGGTTCCCAGTGGAAACCCACAGGCCAGCCACCCACCTTCTGTCTTGGGGGCTGTGGTCTCGTCGGCGGAGTCCCCTTGTTTGAGGAATTTGGCCACGTCGTTAAAGATCAGGTAGAAGTCAATTGCAAACACGATGGTGGCAAAGAAGCCAAACACCTGTGGGACATGATGGATGAGGTGGATAGGAAGTGTCAAGAGGCTGGGCACGGGGAGGGTGGCACTGCCGCCCCAACCTGGTGGCCAGTTTTAGCCCTACTTGGACAAGCAGCCCAGAGTGGCAGGCACAGACCCCTCTGAGTAACCAGAAGTGGGACATGAGCTGTGAACTTGGTTTGACAAGCAGCCTTTAAAACCCAGAGTGGAGTAAATCTCTAATAAGAGGACTTGGAATCGCTGAGGCCCACAGGAGAGCCCCCTGGCCCCACCCTAAGTGGACGTCCAGAAGGGCACCTGCAGCTTCAGGAGGGCTGGGAGGGGGCTGAGGGGGCACAGGGCAGCCGCTCACCCCGGCTGCCTTGGAAGCCCCATCCGAGTACTTGGCGACGGCCGTAATGGAAATGGCGAAGTAGATGAGGGCCGCGGTGACACAGCGCAGGAAGTCCTAGGGAGAGAGGGGCAAGGCCATGCTGTCCTGAGTGCCCCAGAGGGGGCGCAGCATGAGGAGGAGGGCCTGTCAGCCTGTCACATGTTCGGCCCCGAGGCCCAGCGCCTGAGGGTTCCTGTCCTGATCCTACCTGCATGCCCTGGCCCATCCTACCGCCCCAGAGAGGCCTCCAATGGCCTTCCAGCAGCTGACACTGCCTATTCCTGGCCCAGGTGGGCTGCCATCTCTGCCCTGTGGGCAACAGTGTGGACCTGGCTGCAGCCTGCCCTGCAGACCCTTGGTGGGAGAGCTGGAAATCTTAACTGCTTCCTCCAGCCCTCCAAGGGGGCCACCTGACGCTGGACCTCTTGTGGCCTGTCCACTTACGGATCATGTCTCTGCTTACCCAGCTCTAAAACGGGGACGCAGAGGGTACAGCCCTCCACAGGTAGGTCAAGGATGCTGGATATAAGGCCAAGAGACCGGGGTTTGAATCCAGCCTTTGCTGCTTTCTCTGTGACACAGTTCATTCAACAAAGTCCACTGGCAGGGATCTGGGCCTCCTAGGTGATAAGATGAGGTCAGGTTGCCAGATGGCCGAGGTCTGGGTAAGCCCTGCACGTCCTCACGCCTGCCCCGCCGGCGTGGAAATGGCTTGAATTCCTGTGAGGCTCATTCCGGCAGGCCCCGTGGGGAGCACCTGCGCCACCTGGTGGCCAGAGCCCATATCCCGGTTCCCTGCCTCACGGACCTGCCCTGGAGGCGCCACCATCTGCTCCCGTCCCCGGGGCTGCTGACCGGTGGGGCCCGGATCATCCGGAGCCTGGTGTCCACCGGGTCTAACCAAGTATATGCTGGCCCCCCAGCGCACTGGGAAGGGGTCAGGGCTGTGGTGCACAGTTCAGGACTCGCATCTGACCGCTGTGTGAGGCTCAGCCAACCCGCTCCTCCTGGGACTCAGTTCCTCACCATCATGGGCCAGCACAAGCCCTGCCACTTGTCGTTCAGCTGCATGGCATCAGCAAAGAGGAAGTATAGGGCCAGCAGGAACTCCAGCAGGGGCGCCGTGAGGAAGGCGGATGCAGAGGACGCCACATAGCAGATAAAAGTGATGAAGGAGAGACCCTGGGGGGAAAAGGTTGGGGCAAAAATCAGAGCCATTTCATGCTCCTTGTCCACTGCTCCTCTGAGCCAGGTCCTGTGTCAGGAATAGAGGTGGTTCCACAGCAGGGGAAGCCATCTGCCCACAGTCCCACTGCTGGGAAGTAGCAGAACCCGGACTAGAGCCCTGGCATGGGACTAGAACCCTGGCATGGCTCAAGCCCGCACCCATGCTGTCCCCGATCCTTCTAGGCATGGCCCTGAATCCTGACCCCATGCCAGCTCCCTGCCAGTACTGAGTCAGGAGGCCACCCCCTGGGGCTGCTCACCCTTCCCCCTTATGGCAGAATCCACCCAACTCAGCAGGGGCAAATCAAAGCTAAGTAGGAACCAGTTTCAAAAACTACCACCCAACACCAAAGATGTGTGCTTGTCATTGACTTGTTACTTTTTTTTTTTAATTTGAGTTGGAGGCTCACTCTGTCACCCAGGCTGGAGTGCAGTGGAACGCTCATGGCCACGGCAGCCTTCACCTGCTGGGCTCAGGCGATCCTTCTGCCTCAGCCGTCCAAGTAGATGGGACTACAGGCACACGCCACCACGTCCGGCTAATTTTTTGATTTATTGTAGAGATGAGGTCTCGCCATGTTGGCCAGGCTGGTCTCGAGCTCCCAAGCTCAGGCAATCCTCCAGCCTCAGCCTTCCAAAGTGCTAGGATTACAGGCATGAGCCACTGTGCCTGGCTGAATGTAAATTTCACCTTAAAAACAAAAAACAAATCTTGAACTGTTCTGATGTCTGCAATTTGCATAAAAAATAAAATAGATTGCTGGATAGATAGCTGAAAAAGCAAAGCTACCAAAGTGTTAACCCTACAGTGTAGGTGGTGGTCCTATGGGTGTTAATGGTCTAAATCTTTCAGCTTTTTTTTTATTTTTTTTTG